TATCTAAACCCTAATTAGTATACTTAAGCATTGCATCTTTGATTTGTGCAATCGGACTTCATTATGTATACTTGTGTCGTGTATGCTTGTCTTATGCGTAATTCATTTAGCTTAGTATACTTGTGCATGTATGCTTGATTCATGAGTTTTCCATGTTAATTATATGTTTGTATATGCTTGCTTTGACAATGCATAACTTATTTAACATGACTTAGTGTACTTGAGTATGTATACTTGTATGACGTTATTCATTTCAATTGCATGAGTAGCTTAGGATGATCCCTGAATCTCACATTGACATAGGCGTTAAGTGACATGAGCTCTTTAACATGTTTCACCTTAAGGTGATAAAATTGTAAAATGTTAGGTCGATGCATGCTCATCTCCTACGAGTAGCTTTATGTTACTCACCCACGTAGTGGGGACATTTTTCAGATACCGGGATCAAGATTTGGGATTCACAACATGCTTGGATGATTTGTAGACTTAAAGTTCTCATTTCTTGTAAATGTTGGCTTGAAATGCCATTTATAGCTTTATATGTCAAAATGTGTAGATTTGATTCCAATTATATAATGTGTACATAAATACATTCTATGCAATGTATTTGGTATGTATGAGATGAAGCCAGAGGCCAATGACATATATCTTGTATTCTATGCAACTTTAACTTCAGGAAATATTATGAAAATATTGAAAAATGCTACGTCATTGCTTCATAACTTTTGCATCGGGTGTGGGAATTCCATTTTTATTCTTTCATAAGGTCTTATAAATCATGTTTGAAGTGTGGCCAAGGGCCAAACGGTAATTTGAAATCATTTGTTAATTTTGGTTTTCAAATTTCCCTTTTCTTGTTCATTTTTGCCTTTTTGCCCGTTGGGGAGTCGGATTTTGCATCGATAGTATTTTTAAGCCATGGACCATTGTAGCACATCCTAATAGGTAAGTTACGTTTGCGTGCATGGTCGTTTCCGGGCAAACCTTTTTCTTTGGTGAAATGAGCCTCTTATGGACTCATTTTGAAACTTTATTGCATAATCTGATTTAGGTGCTTTCTAAACTTTTTACATCAGTTTTATTTTCTTCTTTGGACATGGTCGCTTAGAAAATGTGATTTTAGGGGGGGTTTCTTCTTCGTGTTTTTCCAGAAAATGTCGTCTTGATACCGGAAATCCCTCGTGAAGTTTCAGCTTCCAATTTTCAATTGTAACAGCTTTTTCACCCTTACTACCAGATTTCGTGGAAGGGCATTTTGGGCATTTTATAGTGAGTTTTTTTTTAATTCTCTCGCGAGTCACGTAGAAAATTCAATTTGGGGGGGGGGGGGGGGGGGTTTCTTCCTGTTTTTTCATAAAAGTTCGTTTCGGCCTCCGTTTCAAGCCTCAGCTCTGGAAAACCTGCTTTGGACCCTTGCTGTCAGCATGGGCATGCCATTGGGCGCCGGCGCTGGGCACGCATGGGGCTGCCATGGCCTTCGTTGGGCTGTCGCGATGTCTCAACTTCAAACACTCGTTTCTCCCTCGTCCGAACTCCAAATCGAGTGAAATTTTTTTTGAATTTGATTAATTTTTTGCTGTCTTTCTAGTGGTGTGCTCAGTAGCACCCGATTTTATATTTTTAAAAATGACTATTTTGCCCTTGGGGGCTTATTTGTCATATTTTTGACCTTTTGCTTCCGCATCAGTTCTCATTGAGTTCCACAACCTCATAGAGGGTTACTTTGACTTCTTAGAGTCTTGTTTTCTATTTTCGCTTCCGCATATCAGATCCGTTATTGAGTCAATCTTTGATTCATCACAAGACACGCTGGCCTAAAAACCAGGGTCGTCACAGAGTAGTTAAGAGTGTATTACACTATTAGGGTTTCTTGTGAAGAAAGTCAAGTATTGATAGGTTGGGACTTGATTTGGGTAAATTAGGATGTAAAATTTTGATATTGTGAAATAGGGCTTGAATTGGGTTCATGGGATCGACGTATCGCAGAGAGCCCACCATCAATTGCTTCGTCACTGAAGACCGTGGCAAAATAGTGGAAGAAAACCCCCCATCTTAGCAGGCCCAAAATCAGAGCTTGCAATTGAGCATTTCTCCGCAGGCGAACTCCGATACCCATTGTCGCCGCCACCGGTGCTTTCTCTCCACCCTCCTGTACGACCTCGTCCTCGAAGCCTTTTCTCCTAGACGCTGCCCTCCGCTCTGCCACCGTCGCCGACCTTCTATGCCGCCCTCTACTCAGCCACTATCGCCGACCTCCGGGCTCCGCCACCGTCGCCTACCTCTGTCAATCCATGGTTTTTATATGAAGTTTACCTTGTAGTTGTAAGAATTACTCCCTACGTCCCAATATAAGTGTCACTTATGGGGAGTGGTAATTTTTAAGGAGACATGTGGGACCATGTATTATCTGTCTAAAAAATTACTAAGTTGCCCTTTTAAGTTTTGAATATTAAAGTTTAAAATTTAAACTCAAAGGACATTTTTGGAATGATATGAAATATATTATTTGAAAAAGGAAAGTGGACACTTATTTTGGGATAGATAAAAAAGAAAAGCATGACACTTATTTTAGGACGGAGGGAGTATAAAATAGTGAAATACAGTATGTATTAACAAGTATAGGGACATTTTTGTCATTTTCGGTGAATGGAGTGGCAGTAGTAGCAAAAGGGAGGGCTGATGAGCTGATACCCTTCCCAAAAATAATTGCACTCACTTAAGTAATCTAAGTAATAGATAAAGGATAGGGAAAATTCCGTCCTAATCCTACTTTTTGGCTTTAAAGACCATCAAGTCCTAAAAAAATTATTTAGAACAAATCAGTCCTACTTTTATCATTTATTTCCTTCAAGTTGTTTATAATTTTTAATTCCTCATTTGCCCTTTATTTATTATTGTAGTCAACACCAAAAATATGCAGGTGAAGAGAGAGAGAAAGAACCACCACAGGTCCACCTGAAAAATGCAGGTGAAGAGAGAAAGAAAGAACCACCACAGGTCCACCACCTCTACACTCTCCATCTCCAAGCCAAAGAGAAAAGCATACTTGCTAAATTTGCCTACCCACCATATTGAAGGTTTGGTGCTTCACCTATTGTCGCTTTTTTCCAGTTCACCACCTTCTTGGCCGAAATCTTTGCTCGACGTCCACCGATTGACTCCATGCTCATCGTCCAGAGATTTCTTCTTGCTTACGGTCAGTTCCAAGTTCAAGTTTGCATTGCCGCTAAGACGTCGAGCATGGAGTCAATCGGTCGACGTCGAGCAAAGATTTCGGTCGGGTCCATCCTCTTATTTTCCATCTGTCTTATGAACCAATCTAAGGGGCAAATAAGACATTTTAAGGAGAGAAAGAACTTGGATGGAAATAAATGGTAAAAGTAGGACTGATTTGTCCTAATAAATTTTTTTAGGACTTGATTGCCTTCTGAGCCAAAAAGTAAGATTATTAAAAGTAAAAGAAAGAAAAGTGAAGTGAAAGAAAAGAAAATTAGTTTTCTATTATGCATTTGGTTAGTAAGAATTTTTTTGAAGAAACTTGTGAGAAAATGTTGTTTAATTAGTTTGGATAGCAAGAGAATGAAAGGAAAATAATTTAATAGTAAAATAATAATAATTACCCGTATGAATTTAATAGTAAAATAATAATAATATATACAATTAAATAATAATATTATTAGTAAAATAATATATACAATTAAATTACCCTTATGAATTTAATAATAATAATAATAGTGATAAAATAATATATATAATTGGATTTATAAATAACTATATATGTCTAGATATGTATGTGTCTCTTTATATAGTTTTTTTTTTTTTTGTTGGAAGTTTTCATTTTATATTAGGACTCTGCTATTAGATTAGTTTACTTTGTTTTGTAGGTGTAGCGAAGAATTTTCATTTTAAGAGTAAAATAGTCGTTATCAATTTAGGAGTATTAATTTGTGAAAGAAAACTCTCCTTTTGTGAGTATGAAGAAACAAAAATAAACATTTTACACAAGAGTATAAGAGGAAATTAATATATAATGATATAACTTTCACGCGAAACTAACATTTTCGTGCGTTTTATAGAGGAAACATTTTGAGGAAAATCAAATTTCCTGAAAACTTTCTTTTTCAGGCTAACCAAACGGCTAAAAATCTTAAAAAATTTCTGTTTGTTTTCTTTTCTCGCTAATTCACAATAACCCAAACTAACCCAAGTATTTGGATACAATAATGCCATCAATTCAACTAGTAATTTAACTTCTTGATTTATTTTAATCACATAAATTTTTTTTTTTTTAAAGAGTCCAGTACTGTCAGATTTAAGAGTTATATTGTAATACTAATAAGTGAAAAATTGCTATTGTAATGTTCATTTATTCCCAATTTAGTTTACACACCAACCGTTAGTAAAATTCATTAACAAACTTGAAAAGGGATGACAAGTTGGGACTTTATTGATATTCATTCTGGATGAAAATCAATGATATATTAGAACTTGTGTCATTCTATTTGCAACTGTTTTAAATCAGACACACATATAAGAGGGTCGATTAGTATAGTTGTACATAGAGACCCTGGAGTGAGTGTTGTCCCCGTTGAAGAGAGGCTGCTGGGAGCATTTCTGGTGCAGACCTAATTTTTAAGTATTTTCTACGCTTTTTACGTATAAATGTACACGTATGAATGTGCCAATCTACGTGCGCTGTTATCTCTATTTCTTGTCTCTGTGTACAGATTTAAGAACATCTTAATCTCACCTCATATACAAGTTCAAGGATAAACATTTATTTCTCTAATTTCCTCGATCCATAACGCAGCTACAAGAACCATCTGAAAACACCAATGCAACCCCTCGACAGCCACACTCTGATGTATTTCAGGGGACACTCTCTTGATGTGAGCTGCTGCTTTGAAGCTCACTGCAAAGGGAGCTCAGGGTGACAGCATCCCTTGAAAGCCTTACTCACTTTGAAAAAACCATAACATCTGCATTATAGTAAAGCTAGCTGCACTTGAAACAAATCTGATTCATTAACCAGAAACTGTTTCTAAAACTAGGGCATTTACAAAAACCAAAAAAAAAAAAAAATGAAGAAGAAAGAAGAATTTTCCACCAAAATATAAATGAAAATAGATATTTTCCCATAAATTTTTGGGATGCATATTTATTGCATTATAGCTGTTCTTCCTATATGCCGACCACCTTTAGTTCCACCTTTAGTTCCAGCTCCTGCATATCACCATCAGGAGGAAATAAGGCCATGTTTTTTGGAATAACCAGACCATCTAGACTGTCACGAACTGCCTTGCAACTATCACGAATCATCCTTGGAACTCCTTGCCATGTTAACTTTCTGCCATTTCCACCAACTTCCAAACTATACCTGAATTTGTTTGCCTTATCATCATCATTGCCCATAAAACGCACGCAGGCCATGTAAACTGGTACTGTTTCTAGAAGGAAAGACTCAAAGTGCAAGCAAAAATAGTGGCTAAAACAGTTGAAAACCTGCACCAAATAAGATAACCAAACATGTTACTGAGTTATTTTTATTTATTTACTTATTTTTATTTTTATTGTTGGTAAGTATGTTAACGAGTTTTTTCATTTTGATTGAACAACATAGTTTTCTTGTGTCGGGACAAAATGCCTGCAAAAAATGTGAGAAAATATGCTTCAGAAAACAAAGAAAACCAATTCATCTCTTTTTCCCATCTTCTCTGCCAGTTACAAAGGCACAACTTAAGATTGGCTTCAATGCCAACACTCAACAGTACTTAGACATATGGTTCATAATAAGGGAAATAAATAAATTATAATATATATAAGCTATATAGACTCAGGATCAGCATGTTTGATCCTTAACGAGTATTCAACCAAACCTTGAACTGCCCACAATAAATAAATAGATCACAAGAAAGCAGAACACATTTATGCATTTTTCCAAGTATTCCAAAATGAGAACCAATGACAAAAATATGGTTAGATATATTTCCTATTAAATGAGAGTTTTATTTTTAAAAATAAATTTAAGTTAAACATGTGTAAGATTTTCAGATGGTTGTATCAGAGGCCTAAGTTAAATACAGGCTTCATCAAACGTTCAGTTAGTTATAGGTATGGGCAAAGCCTGCCTGCCCAATGTGTTGTGCATTGTGGATTTCTAATAAAGCACACGCACAACGGTACCACCTAATGCACGGACAATATTTGAAAATTTAATCAAATGCTCGATTGTAGCAATCATTCTGTTGACATTCTGAAAAGAAGATGGCCTGTGAAATTAATAAAGTTGTTCAATTGAAAAACATTTAACTCACCAGGTAGGTAAAAGCAACCTAACAAAAAAATTGGGATTTGGGAATTTTTTTTCATCCAAGGAAAAATTTGGATTCTAATACCTAATATATTGAATAAGTACAAAAATTCAAGAATGAAGTTAAATGGAGGGGGAAAGCATTTGAAGCGAGAAGGAAGAAAACCAGATTCTTGCATTGTCATATTGAGTTCGTCTGGCCATTTCGCAACAAATTCAATGGTACATTACTAGTAATTTGAAGTATTTAAGTGAATCATTCACGAAATATGATACTGTATGTGATACAACTGTGTCGTGCACACTAAACAAACTCAACTACGCATAAAGCATTGTAGCACAACACTGCATGACTGAGAGAGAGAGAGCTTACCGTCAGCTTCCATGTATGGACATTTTCGGGATTGGGGATGATATATTTAAGGTTGATATATTTAATGGTGAAAGCACACCCATCAAAAACGTCAATGTTGTGATGATCCTTGAGATGTGCAACAAGGAATTGGATATCACCAGTGACACAGCATTTAGCTGTTTCGTTGTATGGACAATTATATGGACGAACACTGGATGGTAATCCTAATGTTTCCGCAACTTTCTCCAAAGCCAAGCACCTAATGCTTCCGAGCACTTGACGGCAAATTGGGCAAATATTGCATACTTTGGCCTTGCAGTTTGAACATAAAGTGTGGCCGTTTGGACACTGCGCAGAGATGAAATGATTAAAAAATATTTTATATTAAGGTTATCAACTTTCATAAAAGAAAATATGTGCTCATAGTGAACTGCAAGAGTTGGGCAGTTTCCTCAAATGAAGACAATGAAACAAAATTGGAGCTCAATTTAAAATTTATTTTATTTTAAGAATATAAATTTGGGAACAACGCACAATAATTTTGATGATGTGTATAGATTTAATGGTAGTGATAACATGCCCACACAAGTCTAAATGAGATGAACATAAAATCTCTTTCAACAAAATATTTAATTTCTTTGCTTAACAGAAGAAACTAATGTTGCGTTTGGTGTGCATGAATGGAATGGAATGGTCATTCTCATTCTATTGTTTGGTTCCAAATATGAAATGTGTAGGAATGGAATGATAATAACCATTCTAATGTTTGGTTGGACATATTTAAAATTTAGAATGAAATGATTTTCAATTGAATTCTTTAAACTACAATTAAATTAACAAAATAACATTCTTCTATAACTATTTAAAGGAAATGGTGGTGGAAGGCGATGGAGGTGGAAAACGGTAGTGTTGTAGGTGGTGGTGTTGGAAGGCGGCGGCAGTGGCAATGGTAGAAGGCGGCGGCGGCAGTGGCAATGGTAGAAGGCAGCGGCGGCGGTGGCGGTGGCTGAAAAGGCATCAGTGGGTTAGGCGATGAAGGCAATGGCAGTGGCAGTGGTGTGGTGGTGGTGGAATGCGACAGTACTGTAGGTGGTGGAAGACAGTGGTGGTGGTGGAAGGCAGTGGAGGTGACGGTAGTGGTGGTGGTGGTGGAAGGTAGTTGAGGTGACGGCAGTGGTGGAAGGCGGTAGAGGTAAGAGGTGGTGGCCGGTGGTGGTGAAGGTGACATTGGTGTAGGTGGAAGGTGGGGGTGGTGGAATGTAGTGGTGGTGATATCAATGGCAGTGGTGTCGGTAATGGTGACGGTGGTCGTGGCAATAACAGTGGTAAAAGGCAATAGATGTTGCGGTGGTAGTGGTGGAAGGTGATAGTAGCAGTGATGGTGGTGGTGGAAGGCAGCAGCGGTGTGGTGGTTGAAGGCAGCAACAATGGTAGCGGTGACGATAGTGAAAGGCAATGGAGGTGGAGGTAGTGAAAGACAGCAGTGGTTGCAGTGGAAGGTGATGGTGGTGGTGGTGGAAGGCGGCGGCGGCAGTGGTGTAAGGCAATGGCGGCGGTGGGTTTTGGACTTAGAACATGAGGGTTTTTTGGGAACTTGATTTTTTTAAAAAAAAATTATTTGGGAATGGAATGGTCATTCCGTAGGTTTAGTTGGGGAGTGGATTTTCATTCCAATGAAATGGCCCTTCCCACTTTAAATAGCATACTAAATAAAGGAATAATTGAGATGGTGGGCATTCCATTCCTGCACACCAAACGTAGCGTAAGGGAAATTCCCTGAAACAATGCCCGAGATTGATTGACCCCAGCACCGGTGCATGTGCAACCTTTATAATGATCAAGAAATTGGAAGATATTCGGCCTATCTGGGACAGCAGCGAAGGAGGATTAAGCACATTGAAGACCATCTCGGTTCATTTAGCCAAAATTAGGAGCATCTACATACCAATCAGCATTCACTGTGATTAACTTTTCATCTGAGTTATCAAGTTTCCAGCTAAGTAATACTATATTTTAAGATATTTTGTCATTACAGTATCTATAGGTTCACCTCATACTTATGTAAACTAATTAATTTATCATAATTAACAGCATATGCATCTATAAGACACCATGACGATGTTTGAGTATCTCTTTCTAGGATACAGTAATCATTCTATACATGAAAGGTATGTGAACATTATTATACGACTTATATAACAGTAAAAAAATGGGATCTATAAACATTATCAATATTGCTTCGCTATCAACTCCAAGATGACAAAGGTAAGGCCTGCATCCAATATGACCACCCAGATAATAAATTTATTTTCTTTTTTTAAATCACAAACTCTGAGTTATTCTTGCGAATAAATATTTCATATATTCCAAAATTTTGTTACCGTGCAACTCAATATTGACACCAATTGTAAGTTTCACAAGAGACTATTATTTTTTCAGAGTTGGGACATAAAACTCAACTGTGTATGTTTTCGAATTCTATTTAGTCAATTTGCAGGGCTATATTTAATTCATAGGGTTAAAACAAGAAAAAAATACATAAATACATTTTATATATATATATATATATATATGATAATCTAAACCATTTGGGAGCAGTCTTAATTATATGAGAATGTACCTGATGAATGGGAGGAGACATTAAAGTGAGGCAGACAGGGCACTCAAGTAGGTTATTCATGGCACTGCTTGCTATTGTTACATATTGTGCATCCACAGTCGCAGATTTTATGTTAGGCGAGCTTCTGATTTCTGCATTTGAATGTGCTTCATCATTAACAGCAATCGCAGATTTTGTGTTAGGCGAGCTTCTGATTTCTGCATTTGAATGTGCTTCATCATTAACAGCAGTTGCAGTACAAAGGTCAAAACACCGTAATATTCTCTTCACCACCATTTCACTTCCCGATACCTTGGATGGCTTTAACCTGTCAAACATAACCAACTTCCAGAGTCAACAGCGGAAGTTCAATCTTACAGGAAGTTATATGACATTTGAAATTAAATTGGCAGAAATTCTATGGGTTCTTTTTTTCTTCTAGTTATTGTATAATTTTATATAATTTCAAATGTTAGGTACAATGACTGGTGCCAAATAATGTAGTGAGATCAACACCCATTAGTTTCGGGTTGTGGATGGATTTGCTGCGTGAGATTGTAATAGATAAAACAATGACGGATTGAAATTATTATGAAAATTATGCATAGGAGATGTGAACTCTATGTTGCTTTTAGATATGTTCTGAGAAATTTCTTCTAAATAAAAACAGAAAGGTAAACTGCTTCTCTTGAAGACTTATAATTAGCTTTTATAGAAGTGCCTAATCAACTTTTACTATAGACACAACTATATCAGCAGCTTTTTAGACCAATTTATGAATGGAAGTTGAAGAATAAACCAATACAAATAATCTGAGTGCAATATAATGCTGACACACCCTTGAAAGGACCAAAATATCCCAATTTGTAGCAAAAAGTGAAGGTCATATGCCTCATACACCATCAGCTCATGCCCACTAACTCAAATAACTTGACATATCCCTAACATTGGATTCCCAAAACCAATATATATATATATATATATATATATATATAACCTCCAGATGGATTCAAAAGGATGCATTGAAAAGGTATTGAAAAATATGCAAGCATTTTGAGTGATAACATCCAATACTAGACGTGGAACAATGCACTACTTCAAAATTAGTAGTAACTATCACAATAATGCATTCCTTGTTCAATAGGATGTATTCAATCTTCCTGATTATATTTTACACTGGACGACATAAAGTAGTTCTGTACAAAACAGAAAGTGGTTCAAATACAAAAACACATCTTTAATGCCAAAAATAAATTAAAAAAACAGAAACAATTTTGCTTCAGCGGTTTTGACAAACTGACAACTACCGATTACCTTCCAGCATATATGACTCCACAATTCTATTTCTGAAGTTCATACATCCAAAAATAAAACATTAAAGAAAGATAAAAATAAAACATTAAAGGAGTTCCAAAATTGAACTTTCAATCAACAAGAAAAACAGTGTAGTGTGATCGAAAAAAACATTTCACGTAAACAATGTAGTGCGTACCTCAGTATGACAGAGAACACATTCGAGAGCTAATACAAAGATATGGTATGACAATTTATATTGTAATAAGTAGGAAAGTGTTAAACCAGAGTTTGGATAGCTAGAAAAGGATTTTTTTTTTTTTTTTTGGGAGGAAAAGTAACTTTCTAAGATATGGATTTCTTAAATATTAAAAAACTCCTAAAACCAAACAAAATAGGTAACAAAGTACTAAAATATCGGTCTTTTTTTCCTTCCACAATATGACCAAATCAATCGTGTTATTTTAAGTTTTTCATATTAACAGTACCAATTTTTTTTTTTGACTTATCTAAAATAAATGTCTCTTTTGGAAACTATGATTTTTATAAAATAAAAAAAAACAAAAAAAAAACCCTTAAAACTGAGAGAGCATGCACCAATCTATCTCCATATTCAGTTTTGGTTCCAATTATTTTTTTAAAGTGAAAAACTATTTCAATTAATTAATACAATAAAAAGTAATTAAAAATAATAGAATGAGATCACATACAATAAATATACTCCATATATCTATTGTTTAGTCGGTTTAGTCTTTTGACTTACTAATATTCCTTTTATAATTATAATTTATTCCCATTTTATTAAAATTACCCTCGGCTTTGTTTGGATTTAGAGATTTGGACGAATTTGGATAGAAAAGAAAAGGAAGAATTCTAAATATCATGTTTGGGTAGCTTTTAATGAAAAATAAAAAATAAAAATAAATAAATTCGGAGGCTATCCCTTCAAATTCTTTCTTATAAAATCCCTTCAAATTCTATCTTATAACATTTTATAAAAGAATTATAATTTTAATTTAGTTCTTAATCTTTATTTTCTTTTCTCTCTTCTATTATCCCAATACGAATACCATCATTTCCTCATAATTTATCCAAAATGCTATTGTTATTGTTATTGTTAGTTATTTATTAATTTTTTTCTTATAACTAACATCATCTTCTTTTTTTTTTCTTTTTTTTTTTTTTTTTTTTTCTCTTATCTTGTATGTAATATCATTCTTTCTTTCCTCTTCCGTTTATCCAAATATAGTTTCTCTTTTTATCTCTTTTACTATTATGAGACGCTTCAACTGTAATTCACGGGAGCTTTCCAACGCCTAAAATTCAAAGTAAAGAAGTTGATTAAAGGAAAAACAAGAGTGTTATTATAGTAATCAAGAGTGTTATTATACTAAGAGAGCATACCAGTAAGTGAGAGAAGAGTGTATTACACTATTAGGGCTTCTTACGGCAAAAACACGTGGAGTGATGAAGAACGCCTTGGGACTTGATTTGGGTGAATTAGGATGTAAAATTTTGATATTGTGAAATAGGGTTTGAATTGGGTTCCGTATCGCAGAGAACCCATCATCAATTGCTTCGTCGCTGACGACGGTGGCAAAACAGTGGAAGAAAACCCCATCTTAGCAGACCCAAAATCAGAGATTGCAATTGAGCATTTCTTCAAGCAGAATGTTGGAAGCTTTGATGTCCACAGGCGAACTCCGATACCCATCGTCGTCGCCGCCACCGGTGCTTTCTCTCCACCCTCCTCTACGACCTCGTCCTCGACGCCTCTTACGCTGCCCTCCGCTCTGCTACCGTCGCCGACTTCCCAAATCATCCATACCGTTAAAAAAACCTAATCGCGGTTAATTTCAGAAACCTTTAATCTTGCGCCAAACCAAGAAGTGGTAAGAGTGAGAAACTAATCCTCGAAAGAATAATGACTTAAGGAGGAATTCGGAATTTCATTTATGAGTGGTGTGTACTCTAATGTTACCATGACCCGATAAATTGAATTCAGACCACCATCCCCACTTACATAAATTCGGTGACTGTTACAGCTATGTTTTTATCGCTTACTTTTTATTTTTTAATTATATTCATAATTTTTTTTTATTTAATGATTATTAAAGTAAAATATTTTATATCATATTTCATACTATCTAAACATATGAAATATTTGACAAAATTATGGTTCACTACATACATTAATCTTGTGTTAGGGAATAACAAATCGGAACTTTGAATTTAAAAATGAAAAAAACTTAGCTTCTTTTAACTATTCGACTCGGTGTGTTAAAGATAGCATAGTACTTGATCCTCGATATACAGAAACAAGAAAGAGAAAAGCAGAACTCCGACCACACAGAGAACCGAGAGAACTCTAATATACGCAAACATACCACAGAGAACCTAGAGAACTCTAATATATATACACACATACTTGAAAGTAGTGGGAAATGAAAAGGCTGTTGTGGTGTAATAACAACTAAAAGGTGTTATTGCACAAGCACCTTTTAGTTATAGGTGTACATTTATGAATGTGCCAATCTATTAGCTTTGTTCTATATTTCATATTCACGTGTACAGATTTAAGAAAATCTTAGTCTCACCTCGTATGCAAGTTCAAAGATAAACATTTACTGTGAGCTGCTTGTTTGCAGCTCACTTGCAAAGGGTAGCTCAGGGTGATAGCATCCCAACAACCTTGCTCACATTGAAAAGTATTAACATATGCATTATAGTAAAGCTAGCTGCATTTCTAACACAACTGATTTATTAACCAGAGAGATACTGTTTCCAAAACTAGGCTGTAATCTACAAGTTATAACTAACTAAACCGGGTTACAAAAAAGAAAAGAACAAAAAGAAAAAAGAAAACAGAAAACAGAAAAAGAAGAATAATAATTTTCCACCAACATGTTTAGAAATAAAAATGAAAATAGATAGTTTCCCAAATTTTTTTACAACACATCTTTATTTCATCATAACTACTGTTCTTGCCATATGCGACCAGCCACGGTAAGTTTCAGCGCCTGCCTATCACCATCAGAAAAGAAGAGTGCCGTGTTTTTTGGAATAACCAGTCCATCTAGACCGCCACGAACTGTCTTTCGACTATCACGAATGCTCCTTGGAACTCCTTGCCATGTTAACTTTCTGCCAAATCTACCAACTTCCAAGCTATAACTGAATTTCATTGCCTCATCATCATTGCCCATAAAGCGCAGGAAGGCCATGTAAACAGGTGCCGTTCCTAGATGGAAAGCCTCAAAGTGCAAGCAAAACTGGTGGCTGAAACAGTTGAAAACCTGCACCAAACAAGATAATCAAACATGTTATTGGATTTTTTTTCTTTTTGGTAAGTATGTTATTGCTGGGTTGTTAAAGCAACAGAAAGAAAACCAATTTATCTCTTTTTCCCCATCTTCTCTGCCTTCTACAAAGGCACAACTTAAGATTGGCTTCAATGCCAACAATACTTAGGCATATGGTTCATAAGAAGAAAATATATATATATCTAAGTTGTCAATCACACAGACTAGGATCAGCTTGTTTGATCTTTGATGAGGTACACAATCGAAGCATGAACTGTCCATAAAAAATATATAGATCATAAGAAAACAGAACACATTCATTGATTTTCCCAAGTATTTCATAACGAGACTAGGACCAAAAAACCAAAAAAAAAAAAAAAATGTCAGATATCTTTCCTACTAAATGAGAATTTTCTGTTTATTGTTAAAAAATAAAAAAGTTAAAACATGTGTAAAAGTATTTTCAGTGCATGGCACCTACTGAAGGTTGGAGGCACCCTGGCTGGTAAGATTTTCGGATGGTTGTGACTTGTGTCAGAGGCCTAGGTTGGCATTATTGGCGGAGAAGAAGCAATAATTTGGGGCTTATCAGGACCAATGCTTGTGAGAATTTAGAAATCTGATACTTTGATAAAAATAAATAAATAAATAAAATAAAAAAGTAGAATGATTTTGAATATTGACTAATTATAGGTATGGGCAAAGCCTGCCCAATATGCTGTGCATTGTGGACTTCTAACAAAGCACATACACCACCTAAAGCATGGACAATATTTGGAAGTTAAATCAGATACTTGATCCTAGTAATCAATCTGTTGACATTCTGAAAAGAAGATGGCCCTTGAAATAAATAAAGTAGTTCAATTGAAAAACATTTAACTCACTGGGTTTGTACAAGCAACCTAACAATAACTTTTGGATTTGGGAATTTTTTTATCCAAGGAAATTTTATGATTCTAGTACCGAATTAATAATATCATAAGTAAAAAAATTCAAGAACTAAATTAAATGGAGGGGGAAAGCATGTTGAAGCGAGAGAAAAAAAACCAGATTCTTACATTGACATTATTGAGATTGTCTGGCCATTTAGCAACAAATTCAATAATTACTAGTAATTTTAAGTATATTAGTGAATCATACACGGAATAATATACCGTATGTGATACAACCACGTCATGCACACTAAATAAACTCAAGTATCCATAAAGCATTGTATAACTGTAGCACAACACTGCATGTGTGTGTGTGTGTGTGTGTGTGTGTGTGTGTGTGTGTGTGACTGAGAGAGAGAGAGAGAGAGAGAGAGTGAGAGAGAGAAAGCTTACTGTCAACTTCCATCTAGCATCATGGCCTTCTTCAGGATTTGGTTTGATATATTTGTGGTTGAAAGCACACACATCATGAACTTCAACCTCGTGACCATCCTTGAGATGTGTAACAAGGAATTGGATATCACCAGTGACAAAGCATTCAGCTTCGTTACATGGACACTTATATGGACGAAACCTGCAATTCTGCTCATGCCTCAACTTGCTGTGGATGGGGATAATATCTTGACAACCAAAATTCGAGCACCTGGATGGTAATCCTAATGTTTCCATAACTTTCTCCAAAGACAAGCACCTAATGCTTCCAAGACGTTGTCGGCAAATTGGGCAAATATTCAGTACTTTGGCCTTGCAGGTTGAACATAAAACGTGGCCGTTTAGACACTGCACAGAGAGGAAATGATTAATATATATATATATATATATATTAAGGTCATCAACTTTTCATGTCAGAACATATGTGCTCATAATGAATTGCAAGAGTCGGGCAGTTTCATAAAATGAAGACAATGAAACAAAATATTGTAGCTCAATTTAATTTTTCTTTTCTTTTAAGAAAATAGAATTGGGAACAACACACAATGATATTGATGATGCGTGTGGATTTAATGGTAGTGATAACAAACCCCACACAAGTCCAAATATCCCTTGTATAAGTTTAGTGCTTCCTATAAGGACTGCATTCATATTTAGCAACTTCCCCCTCCCCTATGATGGATGGTAATATACATGATATGAAATGAAAAAGTTGTGTAAATCCCTCTAATATTTCTGCAAAGGACAACAAAGGAGTGAATTTTGTTTAATATGTTTTCTCATAAAATTGTTTTCAACAAAATATTTAATTTATGTGCTCAAAAGAAGATACTAAGGGAAATTTTCTACAACCATGCCCCAGATGGACTGACCCCAGTACCAGTACAACCTTTATAATATTATGTTGGAATCAACTTCAGTTCAACATCGTCATCTGCAGCAGTGGAATCCTCCAATGGCTGGTAGGTCAAAGCTCAATATTGACAATGCGTTAGCAATTTGTCAAAGGAATGCAGGAGAGGTGTGGTGTTAAGAGACCAGTGGGGAAGGCCTGTTAAAGTGGCTTCTCTAATTTTTTCTGCAGTAGCTAATGCAGCAGTGGCCGAGGCTCTTGTTTTGTGAGAATGTCTTCAGTTGCTGTTCTAATGGGGATACAGAGGTCAGAGGGGTTAACATTTAAGGGGATTGAGAACCAATCATGAAGAGAGTAAAGTAGCTCTTCAGCAAAGAGCTTCGGACTAAGATTGGAGTGTGTGGCCAAGTTGGCTTCTCGATATTTTTCATTTGGAGTGTACTGTCTCTTTTTTACTTATGAAATCTGTGCTTTTGGAATATATATATATATATATATATATAACAGCATATGCATCTATAAGACACCATGACAGAGTATTTGTTTCTAGGATTCAATAATCATTTTATACACGAAAGGCATGTGAACCTTATTATACGATTTGTATAACAATAAACAAATGGGATCGACAAATTATCAATATTGCTTCGCTATCAACTCCAGAATGACAAAAGTGAGGTCTGCATCCAATCTGCCCCTCAGAGCAACCTCAGTTAACGGGCACCTCCCTAGATAATAAATTTCTTTCCTCTTTTTCTAAATCACAAATTCTGAGTTATTCCTGGAAATAAATATTTTCTATATTCCAATATTTCATTACTGTGTAAAATATTACTTGATCGTGGAGCAACTCAATGTTGACATCAATTTTCAGTTTCGCAGGAGATTTTTTTTTTTCAGTGTTTGGACATAAAAGTCAATTGTGTTTGTTTTTGAATTTCATGTAGTCAATTTGCAGGGCTATATTTAATTCATAGGGTTAAAATAACGGGGAAAAAAACATGAATTTTTTTTTTTTTTAAAAAACAAAAGAATCTAGACCATTTGTGAGCAGTCTTAATTATATGAGAATGTACCTGATGAATGGGAGGATGCATTAAATTAAAGCAAACAGGGCACTCAAGTATGCCATGCATGGCATCGCTTGCCATCAATTCATATTGTTCACCAACGGTAGCAGATTTTGTGTCAGGTGAGCTTCCGATTTCTGCATTTGAATGTGCTTTACCATAATCAGCAGTTACAGTGTCAGGTTTATTTAAGTCCTGGTGGAAGCTGTCTTCAGTAGTCATATTTTATTCCCCAAAGCCAATATTGCTAAGCTCTGAATCAACACGACAATATTCTCACCACCTTGTTTCACTTCCTGATACCTTGGATGCCTTGAACCTGTCAAACATAACCAACTTCCACGGTCAAAATAAGCAAAACTTCAATCTTGCAGGAAGTTGTATGACATTTGAAATTAAATTGGCAGAAATTCAATAGGTTCTTTTTTCTTTTAGTTATTGTAGCATTCTATATAATTTCAAAAGTTAAATACAATGACTATGACATCGGTGCTTGATTCAGACTTAAATTCTGTCCACCTATTCACACAAAGCATCATCAAGTAGTCACTTATAACTAATCAAGACACAATCAGTAAAGCAACAAAGACTCATCTTATTGTAGGTCCTTTATGAAGATCAATCTCATATTTGGCCTACTATCACTTCCAGCTCTTCAATCTCAATAAGATGGTTCAGCCGGTGCAAATATTTTAAGAAATCAATTAAGCGAGATCAATATATCACATGACATACGCTACTATATCAAGTTGCTTATTTGACACTTTCTCCTACTTGACATGTTTAAGATAAATAATGTAGTAAGATAAAAAACCATTAGCCTCGGCTAGTGGATCGATGATGTTGTATGAGATGAGAGATAAAATAAGATGGATTGAAATTATTATTAAAATTACGCATAGGAGATTACTTATCAAAAAAAAAAAAAAAAATTACGCATAGGAGATGGTATTGAAAATTATGCTTCAATATAAGCAAACATCTTTGAGCAATAAAATCCAATACTTGACCTGGAAAAATGCTAGTTCTACATTAGTAGCAAAAATGTATAACTATCAAAACAATGCATTCCTTCTTCAAAAGGATGTACACAATCTTCGTGATTATAGTTTACACTGGATGACATAAGTTAGTGCCTGCTTTTCCATTCCGGAAACTTGGCAGTATTTTTGTCTGATATTAACCAGAATTCTATATAAAAGAGGCAGTGGTTCAAAGTATTAAACACAACTTCAGTCCCAAAAAAGTGAAAAACTGTTAAACATTTTTGCATTAGCAGTTATGACAAACTAACAACTACGGGTATCCTTGCCGACACGACATAGGTATAGGTATGGGATACTGGAGAGGTCCAATACACTAACCAATATGGTGTGATTGGCACAACCACGTGTTGGGTCCCACTCCCACCTGATGGTGCCAATCACCACCATTGGTGGTGTATTGTAGGTCCGGGATAAGGTGTGTGACACCTGTGCTTCTGCTGCTAAACAAGAGTGTCACAAAAGAATTAAAGAACACAACTAAATCCCAAGAAATTCCAAACAACACATCGTAATTCATAAATATGTTTCTTTACCAACTTAAAGTTTCTTTATGAGTGCTATCATCCATGTTTTGTAGGAAAATTTGCAGAAACAATGTTCTATTAACAATATATTTATATGGCCATATGGGCATAATCATAAATTATGTTTCCACAATCCACCATGGACGAAAAGTACCCACCATATACAGCAAGAATAGAACCAACAAACCAACTAGTTGAGGGCGACTGTGGCTAAACACTGGCGTTCAGTGGTTGGTTGAAAATCAACCACAATTATTGTGACATAAGAAAATAAATAAATCACAACCCTTATAGTAAAAATTAATTAAAATAATAATAATCACCCTTCTTGTGATTCGTTTTCAACAAATCACTGAAGCCAGACTGTATAGCACTCATAAGCAATTAAATCCTTAATATGAATATGCAGATTTTTTAGTCACTCTATAAACCAGAGTATTTGATTACATGATTCTAACTCTGGTTATACTTTCAAAACCAAAACATCCGAGAAAATATTTTTAAAAAAAAGAAAAAAAATAAAAAAATAAAAAAAAGGGAAAAATAAACAATGTAGTTTGTACCTTAGACAGTAACACAGTCGAGAGTTTCTTCTTTGTAATACACGATATTGGTATCACTATTTATATGAGTGTTCACTGCTAATTGGGCAATATGAACTCAGATGGTAAGAGTGTTAAGAGTCCTGCTACTGGTAGGACAATATTAATATTGTGGGTGTGTGCGAACTCAGGTAGGAAAGTGTCCAACAAATAAAAGAGTCCTTCTAAAATATGGACTTTCTAAATTAGGAAACAACCTTAGAAATATATATATATATATATATATATATATATATATATAAAACAAATTCTAAAACGGATTAACTTATTAAGGGATTATAGAAAGGCACAACACAACACAGGAAAAAAAAAAATTAGTATGTATAAATATATAAATATAAACTCGTGTGTTTGTGTGTGTGTGTACATATATGCGCAGACATGTAAATTAGTATGCATGTATATTTATTCACACACGTCAAACAATCCAAAAATAGGAAAGTTTCTTTATTTACTTTTCTAATCTAATAACCAAACAAATAGATGTTGTTTCCATTCCAAACGAATCACAAAGCATATTGTATTTAATTTAATAATGAAAAGGATTTTGCATAATTCCAATATAAGAAAGAGTGAACCTGATAATCCACAGTGCCTTCAAACTAGCAAAATTAAACTAACAGATACACCCAGAAGAGAATTTGAGTCCCAAAATCCTAATCAATCAACAATGGAGCTCTGATTGGATTCCAGAAAGATGACAAGAGCAAGATGAAGGTGGAGAATTTGAGTTCCCGCCCCGTCAACCACCACACCACCGCCGTCTTTATGTGTATTCCAGCGAACGAAACACCACCGACACCTGCACACTTGATGACTTCACCACCACCATTCCCACAACCACCACCGCTACCGTGTATTACGGCGAACGAACCTGTAGTCATGGTGGTTACCGAAATTCTAGCCTCACCCTCACAACTACCACCACCACCATTCACACTCCACAGCCAACACCACCACTGCATTTTGGCGAAACAACCAGCTGACATGGTGGAGTGGTCTCGGCATGGCGGCTGCGGCGTCGAGGTTTAGGGTTAACGCAACGGTAGAAAGAAGACAAGATGGGATTTGATTTTGATATTACAATCATACCCACATTTTATGCCGTGGCAGAATTTAGTAGGACCGTTTTAATCCAATAAAATATAGGGTACCCTCTCCATTAGGATGGTAGTTTGCCCGCGGCATTGGGTACCCGCTTTGTATATAGCGATTTTAAAAGACCGTTCAGTTTATTTGAATAGTAATAATTTTATTAATAAAAATTCGCGCTGATTCGAGGCTAGGGCGAGGGGAGGTCATCCCGCCTTATCTCATTTAGGTAAGTAATTTATTAATTTTTTATTTTATTTTATTAGTATATATAATTAGCTCTAGAAACTTTAGATCACATTCACTTACTTTCTCAACCGTTTTAGAGAGCGGCAGAGCTTTACGAATTAAGAACTCTCAACGGTATTATTGATTGCCTATTTTTTATAAATTTTTTCAATAGTTATATAATTGTATTTGAGGAAAAAAAAAATTTTAAATGAGGAGAAATTCAGGAACTAAAAGGGACGGGGATAGGGTGGAAAGGCCCCTGTTTAGGCGGTTTTGGGCGGGGACTGGGCGGGAGTTTCTAAACAGTTGCGGGAAGGGTACACCCGTCCATCCCTACTCTCCATGAAGGTTTACAAGGAGAAAAACTTTAGTGCGCCCATTGCACGGTGCAACAGGCGCATCTAGACCATTCATGTAATACATATGCGCATACATGTCTTACACATGCCGTGTATGAATGGTTGGATGCCCCCATTGCACGGTGCAATGGGGGCAATAAAGTTTTGTAATTGAGTGTTAGCACCAAAGCAACTGACATATGTTTTAGTTGGTATACCAACCCTTGGTCAAGCGGTCAGCTTGAAAATATTGGATTTGAGCGATGCAAATACTACAAACTTGCAGAGGGATCTTATCCCATATTAAATTCAGACTGCAAAGCACCCACCCCTACACAAAAGGCCATACTAAATGCATTTTTTTTTCAATACTGAACTATTATCATTTTACTTAAGGGCTTGTTTGGAAAGTGTTATGATATTATTTTTCTAATATTGGTATCTAAATTTGGGCTCATATCATGTTTGTGACTGTTAATATTAATTTGGAATAGTTCATAGCATATCACGTTTTTTTGGCCAAAACCCATATACCGCTGAATTTTATGTTAAACTATTGATTACCTTTTGAAAAAAAAAAAAAAAATTCAATAGTTATATAATTGTATTTGAGGAAAGAAAAATTAAAAAAAGAGGAAAAATTCAAGAACTAAACGGGACGGGACGAGTGCCCGCGGGGTGAAAAAGTTAAATGGGGCAGGGATAGGATGGAAATGCCCCCTGTTTAGGCAGTTTTGGGCGGGGACGGGACGGGAATTTCTAAACCATTAAGGGGAGGGTACACCTGCCCATCCCTACTCTCCATGAAGGTTTACAAGGAGAAAAACTTTAGTGCACCCTGTAATGTTTCTGATTTTTTTCCTTTTTACAGTTTTCTGGGATTTTTTTTTATTTTGAGGGTATTTTCGTCTTTTCTTGTTTTACGTGCCGGACACCGTAGGGTGTGCTGAGTGTGTCAGACTATTGGTTAGGACATTTCCTTAAGTTTAGAATTCTTAGAAATACAGTGGTTGCCATTTCGGCATTTTTCTATTTTCCGGGTCAAAAGGTCTTAGGTGGGACCCACTACTGGGGTTGTTGTGTATGGAAGTTGTGTCTTGGGTCCATTGCATTTTATGCATTATCATTTTGTACATAAATTAATTGTTTAAATTCTTAATTGTGGTTATAACATAATTAATGCATGTATATGAATTTTGTGGTGAAAAATTAATGTTGAAAGATATTTATTTTGGGGGACCCACCATTATTGTTTTTAATGGCCTTAAGGCCATCACACCATGACCACTTTCTCTCTCTCAGCAGAATCTCTCTCTCTCTCTATATCTCTCTTTCATTTCTTTCATTTTTCTTTTCTTTTGCCACCAATTCAAGGCTTGATCAAGCCTAGTCCCTTGAGAATTTGATAGTACCACTTAAGGCAAAGTTGAAGAGCTCGTCGAAGCCGTTGTTCTGATTGGAGCCAATCACCATTTGGCTAACCTTGGGATTTTCAAAAATCTGGGGATTTTTGGGACTTTTTGCATCCTTTTAGGTAGGGGTGTTCTAATTTACAATCTCTTAGATTTTTGCAAATTATTTCCCTATAATTGAAGTATAGCATGTTGAATTGTCGATTATTCTTGAGAAATTGCCATGATGCTAAATATATGATATGTATCTCTATGTAATTTATATGTAAATGATATATGTGTGTATGATTATTGATTGGATATGAGAAACATGCTTATTTTAGTGATTATGTTCTTATTTAATATGTTTAATTGCCGAAATTTTGTTGACTTAAAGTATGCTATAAATTCATGAAAAATTTATTTTTTAATATGAAATGTTGTTAAGGTTTGAAGATGTGAAAATTATGACATTTGATAAACATGAAGTATTCATGCGTCCTATTGGGAACGAAAAAGGGAAAAATGTTATTGAATAATAAATGAAAATTTTATTTGGGGGCAAAAGCTTTTCCAAAAATGTTTGCGAAAACCCAGACGCCTAGGAGTCGCCTAGTGGTCCATGGTGTTAATGTGGTTTAGAGAGGTTAGGGAGAGACCCTAGCGAGGTTGAGCTATCTAGGCTCGCGACGCCTTGGAGTTGCCATGTGGTCGATGGATAGCTAGCCAATTTTCTTCTCGTGACCCCATGGAGTTGCCATGGGTCGGACTATACTAACGGTTTGGAAAGGTGAAACGGTATTGTTTCGGAAACGGGGAGCGACATTGCATGGCATGACATTTCATAAGCATATTGCCAGCTTGGTAGTTGGATGACTTATATATGTATTTATTGATTCTATTATTGTTTTACCTATTTCCCAAGGCATGATTCCATTCACTCGTATTCTATTCGTTATGTGGGTTCACGGGGTCATAAGAGGTGTGTCTTAGGCACTTCCTACTGAGCTTTATGCTCACCCCATTATTTTAACATTTTTCAAGTTTGGGAACGGAAGTGGCAAATGATGTTCCACCACAAGTTTAGGTGGATTGTAAGGAGCTGTTATATTTTGTGAATGAAGCCATGTTCTTTTGTAAAGACTAAGTGTAACTTGTATAGTATTATAATGGTAGACTTTGTAGAAACAAACATATTTCATGGGCTGTAAATTATATGAACTTTTGTTCTTTCGTAAAAGACTATAAAGAATTATGCATGATCGTGTTGTTATCAAACTTAAGCAGATATTGTGATCTGTATTCAATGATTTTACATGTGTTTGGACAGGATTTATTCAGTTTAAGGCTCTATAGTAGCCCTTTTGTTTATTCTCATGTTCATAGTAGTTCAGTTGTGAGTTTCAGCTCGCATGACCATTTCGGTCGACCGAAATGGGCATTTTGGACAACCGGCTGCATTTTTTTGACAATTCTAGTAGCCATATCATTTGGGAGCTCACAACTGCCCGACCGGTATAGCCATTTTGGTCGATCGGTGTAGGGTCATTTCGAATAACCAAAGCCCCACTTCGGTCGACCGGTATGCCACTTCTTTGCGCATCGTATTACTTTTTTTGGCATGGCTGATCCTAATCTTTGGGATGTTGCCCAGATTATTCATGGAGCATGTTTATGACGTAAGAATGATGTATCGACAATGGATATGATGGTATTGACTTAGGTAACCTCGGGTTTGGGTAAGGACCCGACTAGCGGTTCGGACCCACAGGTTTGGGTCCTTACAAATTTGGTATCAGAGCGCTATGATTCGAATACCATTAGGACGACGGGTAGAGGTCTACCATGGTTGCATGAGGAAGTTGAATTACATATTTATGTGCTTATGTATTAAAGTATTTGTTATTTGAAAAACATACTTAATTGCTTATGTGTTTACGGTTTTAAAAGACATGTTTCCTTACTAAGTGTATATATCTTTATATGTTTAAATGTTAAAATATGTGTTACATGGCCATGTATGTAGAATATTTATGTGATAATGATTGGAAACATGTTATACGTGATAAGATGGCAAGTAGTGAGTATGGGTTATGACATGTAAGTGGTGTATGGTAATGTGACGGATAGTCTAGCACGGGTTGTGCAATTGTGTATTATATGAAATGATGATAAGGATAAACGAGGTGTTTAATTTCACATAATGATTTAATGGACTCGTAATTTAAATTAATGGGATAGGACACGGTCGTGTCAAGGTATATGTTTCATTTATTTTATACATATGTATGCATGTATAAGAGTATGTGGTCGAGCATGGAATGGTTGTTAGTACAGTAGAATACTTGTCGCGGTATAGCTAGTTGAGTGAGTTTTGACTTAAGAAGGCAAGGAGCTGGGTTGCTCCAGGGTTGTTTGGGTACCGATTCTTATCGAACGAAAGGTGTAGGTCTTTAGCTCATGGATCGAGCTATTCGGTGCATGCTTGCTTCAGTTTTCTCGCTCTTTTTAGGGTGTAGTGCTTGGGGCGCAACTTTTGAACGGTTGCATTTGGCACAGTGTGATGTCAGGGGTGAGACGTATGAGTTTTAGGTGTTAGTGTATAGGTTTTGTGACCAAAAAAATCAGGTGTGCGATGTGAGGTTTTCGTGCGGTATGTATGACTTTTAGGGGTTGGTGTTTGTGACTTGGGTTACAGTTTGGTACGGAAGTTATTTTCGAGCCGATTTGTGGTAAGTGTGATAGAGGTTGCTCGAGTCACGAGTGTAGTTTATGGGTTGTAGATGCATATTTTGGGTATTCTGGTACGATCCGAGGAAATGTGTTTATTACGAGTGTTAAAGGGACTTATTGGGCTCTGTGAGTCTAGGGTCGTGTAAGCATTGATTGGAGTCATGCCAGTGCTGAACGACCGATTGCAGGATGTGGGTCATTTTATGGTCTTGTAAGAGTCTGTTTTAGAGTCTGGTTCGTCGAGAAGTGATTCCTATTTCGGAGAGCTACATAAACGTGTTACA